TAACCTGTCAAATGCCAAGTCCAAGTGCCTAAGGTGAGTTTCCTTGTCTGGACTGGCAATGGGGCAGTCGTCTATGTATGCGTATACAAAGTCGAGACCGAGAAATACTTCGTCAATGAAGCGTTGGAATGTTTGGGCTGCATTCCGGAGACCGAATGGCATACGTAGAAATTCAAAAAGTCCGGAAGGCGTAATGATAGGCGTTTTCGGGATATCTTCTGTTGCCATCGGGATTTGGTTATACGCTTTAACCAAGTCGATTTTGGAGAATATAGTCGCGCCGGATAAGGTTGCCGTCAAGTCGTGTATATGAGGCAACGGGTAGCAATCAGGGGTTGTTTTGGCATTCACTCGCCGGTAATCACCGGTGGGTCGCCAATCATTGCTATCCTTTTTCGGAACCATATGAAGTGGGGATGCCCATGGGCAATTCGAAGGTCGAATGATGCCAAGGGTAAGCATATGGTCAAATTCATTCCTGGCGATTCTCAGTTTGTCAGGAGCTAATCGTCGTGCTTTAGATGTCACAGGTTGTCCTGTGGTAATGATGTGGTGCATAACATTGCTGGTTATGCACGGTAGGTCGTTCGACGGGCAGTTAAGTTCCGGATACTTGTCAACCATAGGTTGAAAAGTTGGATCAAGAATTGCCTTTATCTTAACGGGTGACAAACTAGGGCCTATGTAGCTGATGCCTTTGATAGACAGACTAGTAGTATTGTCAATCAGTCGTTTTCGGCGGACGTCTACGAGTAAATCATGATGATTAAGTAGGTCCGTGCCAATGATGGGCATTGTAACGTCAGCGAGAAGGAAAATCCACCGAATAGGTTTGCGTAAACCTACGTTCAGATAGACGTATTTCCTACCAAAGGTTGCGATTGGTTTTCCATTTGCAGCCTGTAAGTTGAAGGTAGGTTCCTTCTGTCGATCTGCTGCTGTAGCAGGAAGGACGCTGACTTCGGCGCCTGTGTCGACTAAGTATCGAGTCTGGCTTATCACATCATGGATGTAAAGTAGGCGGCTAGTGCCACCGGCGACGGTTGCCGCTAACGCGTGCCGGCGGGATAGTTTCCCACAGACTTTGAGACATTTCCGAAGTTACAAGGCTTACGGCAACACTTCGCTTCTTGGCCATAGGTGTTGTGGTACCAGCACCAGTTAGGGTTTTTCAGTGAATGTGGTTTGAACTTAGATCGACCACGTGAGTTCCTGCGTTGAGGAGATTTAGGACGACGGTCGGAGGAGTTAGAATGCATGTTTGACCTAAACATCTGAAGGAAAGAGTTGCATAACTCTATCATTGCAGGATCCTTACTTGAAGTCTGCTTAGTCATCGAGCATATTTCGGGAACTGACCGTTTAGTTATTTCTAGAATCCTATCTGCAGTAATAGCTAAGTCCTCTATTACAGTACCCTGAAGTGTCACAAGTACGGTCTGTACAGACTGTGGCAGCTTGGTTAAGAAGAGTTCTCTAAATAGTCCTTCGTCGAACTGACTTTGGCCAACAACTTCTCTCATTCTTGTCAGCATGCTCACGGCTGACTGATCTCCTAACTCGATGTTACGAAATAATTCGTCCAGACGTTGTCGGTCCGTGAGAACGTTTCTCCTGAGGAGGGATGCTTTGAGCAACTCGTACGAGTTACTTACCTCGGGACTGAACATCTGTGATGTTACGTATTTGCTGAATTCCCGCGGTAGGGCGTGAATAACTGCAAGTAACTGTGAACGTTGATCGGTTATCCCATGCTCACAAAAATCTGCTTCAGCTAGCTAAAACCACGTTTCAGCATTATCTGGCCAGTATGGTACGAGCTGAATGGTTTTAGGAGTTGAGCGGATACGAATGACCTTGGGACTAAGATCACTCATGACGAAAATTATGTCGAATAATATATGGTACAAGAACAAATAAAAAATGGAACGAACTCACCGGGGTTATCTGCGGATTTATCGTGTATGAAGTTCGCGGTTGGGCTCACCAGTTTAGAGGGTTGACGGAATTCTCTTACACAGCCTCTAAATTATTCTCGCGTACCAACAACAAAGCAAAAGCCAATATTTGATCGTCCAAACTAAGTGATATATTTCGGGACCAAAACAAGCCTTCAGACGAACGCTTAGCTAGCTAGTGATTGTGCACGTGACACGACGGGGATGCTTTACCGGAAGCCTTCGGCTAAACAAGTCGACTTAAACAGTGGTGGTCAGCATCCAATGGTGAGTGATTGCTGTGGTCAATAATTTTGGGGAATTATTTACCGCTTCATATCCATTTGAACATCATATTTGATCTTAGAGAAAGAATACTTTTCCCACGGTTATATACTGACTGCATTAACAACAGAATACTATGTATCTTTGATCATTCTATTTCATCTCGTTTAATGTAAACCGAAATCACAGGCTCAGTGATTGGTTAACGAATATAGATTGTAGATGTATAAACAGAGGTTTGATGAATGAAAAATATACCTTGGCTCCCGTGTCTTGCCTCAGAAAAGACCACGTCATATCACACAGAACACTGAAGACTGTAAACAGTCTGGGTTGTTGGTATGCCTTTGGCTCATCTAACTGACATTACTGTTCACAGGCTCTTCAATTCAATTTTTGGAAAGCATTTGACTAAAGTTATCTTGTCTGATACTGAACATCCTCTCTACTTATCCTCAACTTTTACCTTGTCTCTCTTAGGATAAAACAGCAAGAAACTTCATAAGAATTTACGCTCGTACAACTATATATACAAATCCTACCATACCATATTTAGAACAGGCGTTGTGTGAAGAGTCAGAAAAGAACTTATAAACTTTTTGAATCATTAACTGAAGTGCAAAGTATTGGCAAACATTAGTGTTACACTCCCTGTGACTTATGATCTTCAATGAAACTGTTTTGTATTTCTTTATTACTCCTTTGTCTCACACCTCTGCTCACTGTTTCTATTATGCTTTTCTTGTACTTTCTTCTCTTGCTTCGCGTGCTACACGGAATGTGGCGACTTGAACTTCCGCACATTTGTGCAAAGTTCTATGTCGAAAACAGACAGACTACATGTATGATTATCATTATTATGATACTATCTACTTATACACTTCAATGTGCTTCCAACATCATTCTCCTTATAGTGATTTCTTTATTAATAATAATGATAATATTATTATTATTATTTTAAATTTTATGTATGTACATATTTATAAAAGGCGCTAAATTGTTGCAATGTGTATAAATATGCTGAAAATCCCATTTTGTATAGTGATTACTGTTGTTTGGAATAAAGTGATTATTATTATAATTATTACTGAAACTTCAAGAAACAACTTGAAGCATAACAACACTCTGAGATTATTGTTTTGTAGTAACGTAGTCACTATGTAACCGGAAGACATTTGCATTGACATAAAAGAATGAATGACAGCGAATGAGATTTGAGACAAAAGTCTTCCCCCTGGATACGACGTTAGATGTCGAAATAGACAACAATCCCGTAGTAGTAGTAGTCCTCCCGACGAATAATCATTATCATCATTGTATTGATTCTGTGGATGATAGATTAAAGAATTTTTTCAGTCGAGTGTGTTGATTGTGTACAAGAGTGTGACGAGTGCAGATTTTTTGCTGGCCAACACATTTTACCACTTGCATCCAGTCTGCCATTCAGCTAAGGACCATAATAGGCGAAGCTTTCAAGTGGACTAAATTGAAATAAATGATATAGTCCTGAAAGTGTGGGTGTACAATGTTTTTAATTGAAGTAGGAACTGCAGAATAATAGTAAAGACACAAACAAAAATGCACACGAAACAAGTTCACATTGGAATCCAAGCTCAACTCTAAAGTTCATTTCTTAAAATGTTTATTTCAGAAGGTTGACTTAGCATAGTATTATCAGCATTTCCATCATTGCATCCCTTTGAGAAGGATATCAAGGAATTGTACCAGTGTTACAAACTATGATGAATTGAAGCGACTCAATCAAGTCCTCGATCGAAATGTATGCCCGACAAGATTTATCAAGATAAACATCAGAGCAAAGGAATCCACATGGTGTCGAAGAAATGGCTGTTAATAATGTTGGATTTAAAAGTGTTACCTAGACTGAGATTCTGAAGAACCATATATTCCGATCATTGAGAAAAGCATTTTTTTCACCGAGGTACGGTCCCGTTCCTACACTGGGCGAATGATCAGTGTGAATGATGAAGTGCTTGTTTGGGTAACTTTAATGTGCGTTTATAAAGTCACCTGCTTCTGTAGAACTGCACAAACCTCACACTTACCAAACTTATTTCAAAACACTGTCCAGCATGATTACTAAGAGGACAATGCAAGTCAATTACTTATAAGCGTTGTTTTCATTATTACATTGCTGTTATACGCTATATTTTCAGATATGACACTCACTATTCTAAATACAAAGCTTTGACTTAACCAACATGACAATAGTGAGTTGTTGTCATGAGTTGTAAATCACTTGGTGTACATATGAGGTGCTAATTGTTAGATAGTTGATTATATATATATATACTCAAGCAACACTATTGTTGATTTCCTTGTTTTTTCATTTCGCACTACAGATAAAAACAGAATCATTTTTAGAGGATATTAACAATATACTAAATGCTGGTGATGGCAATGGAGACGCTCAGCTGAAGCCCTATGTTCCTCAAGGAATTAAAGGATATAATAATAATAATAATAATAATAAATGCTGGTGATGTGCTGAATATATACCAACTAGATGAATTCAATAAAATCTATGACTCCATGAAATTAGTCGCCGCTGAAGCTGGTCTACAGCCAACTAAAATAAATTTATTTTCGTGTCACACTAAACGTGTACGAGACAACCTGCATGCAGTAATTACAATGAGTCCTATTGGTGAAATATTTCGTACACGTTTAAGACAATTCTCTGCCTTAGTCAAGTGTTGTACTATTGATTAGTTTAGTGAGTGGCCAAATGAAGCGCTTGAATCAGTTGCATTGAGAATGCTACAAAATATGTCTGATTTAGAAGTTAACAAAGAGACACTCAAAGCATTAGTTCAAATGTGTATTGATATGCACCAGTCAGTGGTTAGAAATACAGAATTATTCAAGCATGAATTAAATCGTCACAATTATGTGACGCCAACAAGCTTTTTAGAATTATTGACTGTCTTATTGAATTGCATATTAACTGTCTTCTCTCAAATTTACGGTATAAAAAAAAACAGGAGATTATTACAGCACGAAATCGTACACACACAGGTTTGGATAAATTATTGCACACAGAAGAAGTTGTCTCCAAGTTACAAGAAGAACTGGAAATTAAGAAACCTGAATTAGAAAAGGCGGTTGAAGACTCGAAGGCAACTATGGAAGAGATTACACGAGATTCGAAAATTGCTGAAGAAACTCATTCGGTTGTTGCCCATGAAGAACAACAAGCAATGAAAAAAAGTCCGTGAATGTGAAGCTATTCGTGATGATGCTCAGCGTGATCTAGACGAGGCTCTACCCGCTCTTTACGAGTCATTAGAAGCACTGAAGTCGCTGAATAAGAATGATATTACTGAAGTAAGAGCTATGATGTGTCCTCCAGAGGGTGTACGTCTGGTTATCGAAGTAGTTAGTCTTATGAAGGATGTGAAACCGAAAAAAAGTGGCAGGCGATAAGTCTGGAGTAAAAGTTGATGACTACTGGGAACCTGGTAAAATTATGCTACAAGATCCTGGGAAATTTTTAGATAGTCTAATAAATTATGATAGGGATAACATACCAGACAGCATCATTGCAAAAATCAAACCATACATTGAGTCAGAAAGTTTTCTGCCTGCGGCTGTCGCTAAAGTAAGCAAAGCATGCACCAGTATTTGTTTGTGGGTTAGAGCTATGTACAAGTATCATCATGTGGCTAAAACTGTTGCACCTTATCGTCAAGCTCTACAGTCTTCTGAATTAGAATTAGCTGAAACTGAAAAGATTCTTGCTGAAGCAAGAGAGCGATTAAACGCTTGTGAAGAACGCATTGCTAACTTGCAAGCTAAATATGATGACTGTATACGTAAACAACATGAACTGGAGGAGAAAAGTCAACTCTGTGAGGCGAGATTAGTCAGAGCATATTTTTTTCCACAATTACAAGCTGGGCTGCATAGTAGGCTCTGCGGTTGATCGAATTCAACCTTTGTCTCACAATCCTACTGTTTATTTCCCCGTTATATGGTAATTTGATGAAAACCTTTTTCTTAGGGACAGTATGGATTGTAGGTTTAGAGGCTAGTTGACTTCTACACCTGTTTACAAATTTTAAAGGATATCCGTTTTCAACAAGAGTATCCGTCAATATTTCGTTTTCTTTGTCTATAACATCAGCCGTGCACATAAGCTGAATCCTCTTAAATAGACACAAGTCTCTGTCATTATCTGAAATGCTTATAATTGGTTAGGTATCTGGCACTGTAGTTTCCACCAACTTCTTGTTATCAGCCGATCTGGTATCAATTTTTTTCTATCCTAATTATCCTACTTAGTTAGTGATGATGACTATTGGTAAATTTTTAAATTTTTTTCATACTTTTATACTAGGATGAATATCGAATTTTACTTGCTGGTGGTATGCATAAAGGTAAAGAACTTGCTAATCCAGCACCAGAGTGGATTTCAGATCGTATGTGGGGGGAATGTACTGAATCTTTCTTCTTTGCCTAAATTCGCTAATCTACCTGAAAGTATAACACAGAATCGTGATGGATTCAAAAAGATTTTCGATTCTTGTGAACCACACAGAAGTGAAATCTCCGAGCCATGGCAAACAGATTTAGACAGTTTCCAACGGATTTTAGTTCTACGTTGCCTTACAGCTGATAAAGTAACTAATGCAATGCAAGACTTTGTAAGTCATCATTTAGGCCAAAGATTTTTTGAACCACAAACTACTAGTCTGCATCAAGTATTCAAGGATAGTTCACCGTCAGCTCCGTTAATCTTCGTATTTTCTCAGGTAGGTGAATTTTAGCTTCATTTCTTTGAAAACAAAACACATGAGTGAAGTGAATACAGATTCCACAAAATGTCTGCATAATAATAATAATAATAATAATAATAATAATAATCTTTTCACAAGAATAACTAAATAAATAAGTTGGTTTCTTTTTTCAAACAGGTTTAATGTTTGTTTTGATGACTTATTGGATGGAGGATTTCATCATGAGCTGACACCAGTTAGAGAACCACTGGAAAACCTGCAGGGAGTACTGGACAGCTGTTTTGTCAGCCTAGTTTGGGACTTTTCATCAGTATGCACCTACCACAGCGGTTCGAACTCAGGACCTTTTGATTACAAGGCGAGCTGGCTCGTAGACCATTGAGCCACTGGGACCCGATCCAATGGCTAGCCCATGAATCCTAACTTTTGTCAATTCACGACATAGCGCGAACATTTCGCAGTGTTTTCTTCGATGAGTTACTGCCTCATCTTCAACCTGCTGTACCCTACTGGTCACGGCATCCCACTAGAACCCCTACCTGAATAGGGCCAGTCGCAAGTGAGTATCACGTTAATTTTCAAGTATTGGTTTTGTAACCTTGTAACCAGAGGGTCCTGGGTTCGGACCCCTGTGGTGGGTGCGTACTTCCGAAGAGTCCCAAACTAGGCTGGCGAAACCGCTGTCTAGTACACCCAATTGGTTTCCCAGTGGTTCTCTAACTGATGTCAGCTCATGATGAAATCCTCCATCCAATCAAACTAAATTCCTACAAAACCAATGAATACTTGATGAATTATTCTCCATGCATGCGAAACCACGAAACACTTGCATTTCTCTATATATTATGAAACTCGTAAAATATATGTTTTTATTTATACAAAGCTGGAGAATACATCTGAACGTTATAGGTGAAGAGATGTTTGTTGCAACATTACCGACGGATAGATATGCCCGTTCGTGTTCAACGGATATATCTATCTAATTAATTCCTAGCAGATGTCCGGATGGATAGTATATATATATATATATATATATATATATATATATATATATATATGCGTATGCGTGTCATTATTGTCTTCTATGGCTCTTTTTTCTTCATAGAATATAATTTTATGGATGTTAATATGGTGATAACAATAATAATAATAAGTATGAAAACTTATAGTACTAATAAGTAGTGTGATGTCTTCTTTAAAATTGATGACTCCGTGCATATTTCATCTCTTTTGAAAAAAAAACTTCCAGGGTACAGATCCAGCTTCAGATTTGTATAAATTTGCCGATGAAATGAATTTCGGTGGTAAACAGCTGTCAGCTATCTCACTTGGTCAGGGATAAGGTCCTAGAGCTGAAGAACGTTTGCGGACAGCAATGGATCGTGGAGTTTGGGTATTTTTCCAAAATTGTCATTTAGCTCCATCTTGGATGCCTACTTTAGAAAGATTGTTTGAACAAATAGACAAGGATAGAGTGAGATTTCTTTTGTAAATGTTTCACATTTTATCTTTTTTTTTATTTTCTGACTGACTGACAGACAGACAGTGTTGGCGTTTAACATCGAAATTAATATCCAGTTTCCTTTTTGTCTTTTGAAAAGGTTTTCCTCTTTGTAAGTTGTCCAGGAGAAGGATGAGTGCAGAAACTCGCACATTTGCATGAATACATAATGGAATGGGTGTGATAGGTTTGGTTATCTAGGGCGAAGTTCGATGAAATTCCAGATGCAGATAGAGAACTGTTATATGTTAGCAGATATTGTTTAATAATTCTGTATTGTTTGTTATAGACGGCTAATGTAATGAGAATGGTGTTGGTAATATTCAAGTTATTTGATTACAACTCCTATGGCTTCCTCACTTTGACGGAACTACAGTCTGAAAGGAGTGTTTAACAGGATGTGACATCAGTGTATGTGGGAGTATACTGTACTCCAGTGTTTCGAAAGCCAGGTAGTCTAACTAATTGTTATGAAATAATTACAATTTATAGCCTAATGTACAATTTCCAGGTGGTTTGTTTTGGTCGTCTGATGAAAAGGAATTTCGGTCCGTAATTAGTAATAATAGTAATAATAATAATATAAGCGAGGTGTAAAAAACAAGACTAAGAAGAAGGAGAGCTTGGAAAGCTGGAATGATAGCAGTGAAAATGAACATTATCAACTCTGATTGCAACGCACTGCAATAATAAGGCCTTCTTCAAATACCAATTCGCATCGTAGCTTGACTCTGTTTCTCTCTCTCACTTGTAACTAGTAACTTACACTGTGATGAAGCTACTTTAACCCCAATCAATTATTTATATAACATTCTCCTCAACTGACCACTAATTCTTGTTGTTAAGTCTTTAGAATAAATGACCTCAACGTTTATATGTGATGATCACACTTGTAAGTTATTCACTGACTTCTTTCTGATGACACTGTCTAATTTGATCGTAGGGATTAATTTATTTTAATTTCCTAAAATGGTATTCAATCGGTATTTAAAGAATGAACAAGTAAATTACACAGTGAATAGGTTACTGTTTTTAAATTGAATTTCCTTTTCTAGCTGTAATTGAAATTTTGATGGTAATATCTATCCTTATGACCTCAGATAAATGTTCGCCTGATTTTAAGTGTCTGTCATCTCATTGATAAAGGGATAATTTAACTTCAGAGTAGAATTGTGCGACCAGTCTCAATATAATTATGTTCTGCGTGTCTAAGATGATACAAGACAGTCCACAAGACATAAATTCACGTAAATCCACGAAAGATCCTTCTCATTGATAATATTAAATTGAAAAATGATGCAAAGGATATCAGTGGAATTATTTGAAACCTTATCATACATTGGTTGTATGGGTGGAAATGCCATTTGGACTTTTTGTTAAAATTATTTCGAATTTCTCCTTTTGGTAGATTTCACTGGATTGAAGTGTCTGATCGGTGTTTGCATGTCAGCTTCTAGAATGGTTGATTTGACGAAAGCCAACCAGATGTTGGTAGTACTTTGTGATGGAATCTATGCAGTGTGTTTCCTCTCATTTCAGACTCGTTTTTGTGGCAAAAGCATGACTTACTGGGATGCAGGCACATATAGCCGACAAGTACGACATGAGACGAAACACGCGTCCTAGCTACTACCAACCACATAAATTTCACTCAGATATTCAACTTGTAAAATAGTGTAAACTATGTAGAAGCCCTGAACTCAATGTCATCGTCATTGTCGTTGAAATTCGCCATTATCAGTATTATTGCCCACTGCCTACCTTCCCACCTACCTAAGGAATTTTTATCGTATGCACTGAAACAGCCTGATGCTGTCATTACGAAGAATTCAATATTGAATGTTATGATAGTTATGATAGTGTCACGGTCCACCTTTTTTGCTTTGTTCTAGGTACACCGAGATTTCCGCCTATAGTTGACAAGTATGCCCACTCCAGATTTCCCAGTTTACATTTTACAAAATGGATCTAAAATCACAGTTGAACCTCCAAAAGGCTTGAAGGCAAATCTATTAAGAACGTACCAGTCAATTAATGACGCTTACTTGGCTAATGTTCCAGTTAAGGTTTGTTGTCTAAACTAATAATAATGATGTTAGGAAATAGATTGATTGTTACGTATTTGTTGTGTATACATTGTGACATACAGTTTTTAATGTATCAAAAATACTACGTAAAGTGTTCGTCCACATAACTGTGATATCACTGTCTTATTTTGCAGCTAGGTGAAAGAAAAATTTTTTATTTTTTTTATTTTTGATTACAGCTTGATTCCATACCGTATTTTTGGTACAAGTATGGAATTTTCAGCGTGGATATCGGTAGCCCAAATTTTGCAGGCCGAGCATAGATATCAGATGTGCGTCGGCGTGGGCTCGAACCCCGGATCATGTTCATGGTCGGCGAGAGTCCTAACCGCTGTACCACCAACGCACAGCTCTTTTACTCGATGCACTGGGATTCTTTTTATTTTAAAAATCACTGCTCCTCAAATTCCATAGTTACATGTGCATAATTATGTCTACGCATTTATGCATGGTATGGCAATTGAAAATGAAAACGAAATTTGAAACCGACTGGCTAGACATGCGAGTAATGCTTGTGTTTTGCAGGCTGTTGCACACAAAAAATTGGTCAGAGAGAGATCATAGTAACCTTCAGCCTCACTAATCTTCCTTCATATCTGGCCTACTGATTCGCATGTGGATGTTTCACTGACTGTATTTTCCCTACAGTTTTTTAGACGACTACATGTCTGAGGATATTTGAAGCTGAATCACTTAATTCTGAAGTCAGAAATTTCACGACTAAGCTACTTACTGATTAGCATTATAATGACTTATGGATTCGTGAAGATATCAATAGTGACTGAAGCAGATCAACTGCTTTGTCACAACATATGTTGTGTTTCACACTCTGGTCACGCTTCACTTTGAAATGGATTAACACATTAATAAGAAAGCAGGAAATTTTCAGATTCTCGTGTTTCTGAACAGTACAAGAATGCCTAAAGTCAGACTGAAATGTGGCACAAATCAATGGCGTGATGGATAGTCTGTTTTATAAAAAGAGACATCTAAGTTTTCGTTCTTCTCAGAATTCTTGCTTTGCAGGCGGTAACGGCACGAATAATGAATGATTCAACTAGCTCCCTGTTTATGTGAAACCACCAGTTAACGACCAGTAGGAATGTAGGGGTAATGATTTTTGGCAATATGAGGAGATTTGTTTAGTTATCTAGATGGCTATAGACAGGAGGTTTTATTCAGATATCCTGTTATCCAGAAAATGATAAGACTATTATTGTATGATATACTTAAAAAGAAGCCGGCCGACTGACAAGAAATAATCATTACTGTGTTTGTAATTATTATTTATCTTTTTTTGATTTTAGAATGATGTCTTCATGCATTTGTTCCTATCCCTGGCATTTTTCCATAGTATTTTGATTGAACGTAAAAAATTCGGCCCACTAGGATTCAATATACCTTATGAATTTACAACTGGTGATTTGAGAATATGTATGGATCAGTTGATTATGTTTTTAACTGAATATACCTACTACGCCTTACAAGGTAAGCAAGTACAAAAGCCTATCGTATTATTTCTATCGTGTAAGTTGAAAAAAAAACAGAAAACAAACAATTTTTCTCTCTCCACTAGATAATGAGATTTTAATAACCCTGAAATTGATACTCAATAAAATCTTTTGAATGTCAAACAGAAGTAGGTAGCTGGCTGAATACTTTGGAATACTGACATTCTTCAGTAATAGATTATGATTTCCGGAGAGAGAGAGAGAGAGAGATTACTGAAATCCTACTGAACAATCCTACTGAGATATTGGTCTCAATAAGTATCCCGGCGAAGTTATACTTTCGACACCACTAACTACCAATCAGCGAATTATCCAATGGGATTCACGAACGATGTCGAATTATCCAATGAGATTCACGAACGCAGTTCAATGCTGTAGAGCGCTTGATTCTTTTCTAATACGCGACCTTACAAGATTACGGTTGCAATTCGAGGAGTACAGTGTTTTCCAGTATTTCCTGGATTTAGGGTTGCTCCGGAAGGAGCGAACTTGTTCGTGTGTTGGCATCATGACTTTAAAAAGCTATAGCAGATCAACTGATGGGTTTGTTCATCGTTGTGCTATGTGTTTGAAGCGTGCTAACATTAGAGCGGATAAGCTGATAATTTTAATATTTCGTAGGAACTTTTTTCCCTAGGTCGCATCTCTCCCTAACCCAGAGTTTCTACATCTGCAACTACTGGGTGTTGAAACATCCGGTGAGAGCAGCAGCTGCCGAGACTGAGAATAGTCTCGTCTCAACAGTTTAGTGGTACCAGCATTGTAGAGATATTGCTTCGTGTAAAATAGGGAAAATCACTTGTTTGCTGGGTGGATCCCGTTACGAGGACTCATGCGAATTCCATTGAAGGTTTTTGGGGCTGCTTGAAAAACAGGATAAGGGCTATAAATGGATCTCAAAAGGATCTCATTTACCGGCATTCAGATAAATATAAGTACACGATGTGGTGTGACTTCTCCATTGACAGTCTTATGCTAAACTTGGAGATGTTTCTCTCACATGTTCGAGAAAGATACCCCTTGTAACCGTTTTATCCTCTTTTTTATGCTTTTTTCTATAAATATACGTTTCCATTCATCATATATGCCTATTTAATATGATTGGTCCGTTCAAAGTCGTTTGCTGATTGGTTGTTAGTGGTGTCGAAAGTTTAACTTTGCCAGTATCCCGTAAAATACTTTTTGGGCGTTGGTGGTATAGCGGTTAAGACGCTCGCCAACCAAACACATGGTCCGGGGTTCGATTCCCGGCCACCGACGCACTCCTTTACCTCGCTAAGCCAGAAATAATCCTGGTAAAAAGGAAAGCTTGGGCATGAGGCTAGCAACCCCATCCTGTAAAATAAACACTGCTACAGAAACTTCAAGCTACTAGCTTGAGGCCCTATGTTCCACTGGGAACGTGAAGGAAAAACAAATACTTTTCACCTATTTACACTGAAAGAAAAACTTCAAGGTGAAAAGACTTATACAAGAATATTTATTATTAAGTGGTCAAACGCTGTAAGAATACATGGTGTTGTGTCACACTAATAAGCAAGATTCTGAGAATGTTTAGCATATATATGATTCGCCTATGTGAGATGTAAGATAAGGCTGGTGGACTGGTTTACATCGACCTATAGTTTTAGGATATGACTAGGTGTGCTGATTTGATGAACTGAATATTAATGATATCTCTCTCAGCAAGGATACAAAATGCTCATTTGCCAATTGTCAGGTGGCGACATCTTTGCAGGTGTGACATCAGTCTTTCCATCTTTACGGCTACAGTCATATTAGGAAATATGAAAAGATTAGCTGATCTCAGTATATGTTGTATAAAAATGGAGGAAGTATGTATGAGGAGCTTTGCCAGTTAATAATTACTCCGATAGATTAATCACCAAGTATGTGGGAAACTGTTGGAATAAAATTAATGACAGCAATAAGTAAGGACAATATGAATGGCAAACGTATACAAAACGATGAAAACTTCATTAATAGGAAGTTTAAAACGTCAGTAGTGCTGCCATATATGACGATAGAAGATCCTGTGATGTGGCGTGTGCTACTGGCAAGATTTACCAGTAGTACACAGAGACGTTCATCAGCACAAAAATATCAAATAATGCAGAGATGGACTGACGTCAAAGAAAGTAAATGATTCAGCATTGTAGAGAAACATAGAAGACACGAAAACAAGACAACGGAACACGATACAACACGATACACAGAAGTAGCACAACAAAAAAGATCTATGCAAATAATAATTTGGAGATAAGGTGAACATAATTTGGCTATCTAGTTGTAGCGAATTCCAAATAAACCTTCCTTCACCAAGTCGTTTTTCTTCTACCATTACACTGGCACTGGCACCTAACACATAATTCATCAGCCATTGATTGAGTCTTGTCCTACTGGCTGAATGGTATACGAGTTGGCCGGCCAAGTTAAACTTTAAGCCCCACTAACTACCAATGGAGTGAAACCGCACCGATCACCTTGAAACGCTCACTGAAGAAGTTTGTGAAACCTGGGAAATAATGCTTTCATCATCAGTAAAATATGCTTATCGAAGCGTTATGCTATTATTAAATGGGATATCTGGCAAGTTTCAGCTTAGGTTTGGGAAAGATTAAGTTAACGTTTGACGGTTAAACCATGGACAAGTTAAGGTTAGTTAGATTAACCTAATAACGGCGACATTAGGGTTGGTTACAGTCAGATTACAGTTAGTTGTTATAACTCTGTTGCCAATTTGTTATAACTGAAGTGAACTGAACTAAATCCTTCGCTACTTTGTTATGTCTGCGCCTGTCAATTACTATAACGGTAATCAACTTGACTGGCACGCTAATACGTCTATTTGTCCGTTGTACCTTCCGATTCACCTACACTGAGTCACGAGAATATCAAAAGACAAAGGCTGGCTGGGTGGCCTGTGACTGTAAGATATTGTATTCCTTTGCTATACTTTGTAGTTTAAGTAACAACACATGATATTTATACATTTTCTATATCACAATAAAGTTGGCTAACAAGCGTGATAATTGACTGGTCTTATTTTCTGGAAATGTCTATTCTCATTGGTTGGCGATACGACGACAAAGACCAAAGTGAGACACACACTAAATCCCTATATACATGAGAAATGATACATTAACATAGTAACTTCATCACAAGATAAATCACATGATTCGTGAGAAAAGATGATATACTGTTTTATGCTGAGTCCATTCATTAGTTAAGGGCTATTTTCACGTTAGGGTTAGGTTCAGGAACAAATCAGGGTTATTGTCAGCGCCATAGTGTGGCTTTATCAAAATAAATTTTACCCACAATGGAATTGTACTCTGTTGATACTCCAGCCTAAAACTGAGAGCTACTTTTATCACATAGGAGAGGAAGACAGCCTCTGTAACACTTTTCTACAGCTTTTATACATTTTTTCATAAATATATGTATTCCATGCATAAAAATGCCTCCCTCCTTCACGTGATTGGTGCGTTCGAGCTCATTTGCTGCTGATTGGTGGTTAGTGGTGCTTAAAGTTTGAATTTGCCTACGAGTTCGCTTTGTAACCGGAAGGTCCTCGGTTCAAAACCCGATGGGTGTGTACTGTCGATCAGTCCCAAGCACTTGGACGAAACACTTGTCAAGTAAGTACTTTCTATTTTCAATACTTCTCTAACTGAAGTCAGTCCCAGGTCAGACTTGAAAAAGAATAAGATTGACAATCAAACCCAATCAAAACAAATTGAAAAGTTTTGTGGTACCCATTAAACAGAATAATGTAGTTTATTTAATCCTCTTCAGTGATTATGAGCTCAGAGTAGTAGGTGGGGTCCGATTGTATTAATGGAGCTTAAAAATCTGGGCCAGTAGACCCTAAATGGGAGAGAATTCTAGAAAAAAGCTCAGCTTAGCTATAGTGTAACCACAGAAGACAAGGGCCGGACAACAGATCGTTTATTTACGAAATCAACACATATTTATATATTTTCATGTACATTATTATAAATTATTGTTAGCAAACATACACAGTTTTCTGATTGCTTGTTTTTCACTGAAAGTTAATCTTTCATCTCTTTGTGACTGTTTCCTGAATGTCAGATCATCTTTATATGCTAACTGTATCCGCCTATGCAAAATCAGTCTTTGTTCTTATTTTACTCATGAGCAATATTTGGGATATAAAGAACATTGACGTAAATTACTGTCTACCAACTTTGGCTAGCAGCCAGCTCTCACCACAATGGCACTAAATTCATTTACAAACAATCAATCATACAGCAGGATGAGATGAGATGTCAGTCTTGAAACCTAATGTAACACGTTAGACACACACACACTCACAGAGAGAAAGCGAGATTGATAACTGAAGCCTAATTTGTCAAATCAAGTGAGAATACACACAACAGGAATGATTTACTACCACCTATTTGAGATATTTGCAAAATTCTCTTAGGCCTACGATAATTGGGAAGGAAGGAAGGATGGAAGAGAGAGAAAGAACTACAGAAGTAAAGTTTCTAAGTTGTAAAGTTATTATTATTGAGATATGATACTGATTGACAGTGTGTTTGGAACTCCAGTAAATAACACTGTTTCACGCTATGTGATATATCCAGTGAACGGAATTTTAAGTAAATGACCGTTGGATTTTTCCCAGCTTTTAAACTAATAGTACTTACAGTTAGAGATCTTTTATGAAGACAATGCTTAAGTGATACAGGATTTGAGTGTTTACTATAAAGTGTCTCATTTCATTTGTAGGTTCTTTGTTATACAGCTGGACATATTAACTACGGTGGACGTATAACGGATGATTGGGACAGGCGATGTGCGATGAGTATATTAGATGAATATTACTTTCCGCGTGTTTTAGAAGACGATTATAGTTATTCACCATCTGGTATATTATCACCAGCTACCCGGAAATACAGATCATGCTGTAAGTTTTCCTGTTCGCTTAAAAACTTACTTCATAGCAGCGCTTGAATTGAAACACTGCAATAAGAACAACACTGTAGCTTTATCCCATTGGTTGAATAGTCAACAGGCCCGCTTGACAACCTGAGTTCGATCCCTGGAGGAGTTATGGTGGGTGCATCAGTGAGTGGTTCAGTAGTAAAATGCTCACCAACTACGCGGAAGGTGCAGGCAGGTTCATTTCTCGGCCGACTTACTTACTCCTTAATCTCGTTTAGTTTTACTAGCTGGTAGCAAATAGGTAAAACAGGAAGGGTCAGACGTGAGGCTAACAAACCCACAACGTGAATAAAATAAAACAACCTCACCGATAATGAAACTTCAAGAAAAAGAAAAGCTTTGAAGCCATATGTTCCACTCAAAACTCAAGGGATTAACAAGAATTATTATTACTTCACTGAGTTGTTGTGACCCCTATACAACTGAAACAATTCAGTCACTAAAGCATTGATGTGAGCATGGCGAAGGATATTCTGTGATACTCTGTGTGTGTGTGTGTCCTCCAAACAGAATAGACGACACAGATTCCCGTCATGACAAGGAAGACTACATTTTTTTTGAGGTGTGAGACAAATTCGCATACATTAAGAAGTCATTAACTAGTTACATGAAAAGTTGTACAGACAGTTAGTTCAGTAATAAGTGGTTGGGATTTTTAACACTGTTTTAGGAAAATTAATCATTACATAATCATAACATATGGGTAGTTTCTAATTAATATATAATATTATATATGTGCCAATGTATATATTCATGGTATGACTAAGCAATTTTATAGTGAAGATGATTCATGGTCCGATAACAAAGACACAGACACACCTGTCTGTTTTTCACTCATCGCGGCGTATGCCTATTCTGTGTCATGACCTATTTCGATTTGACCCTAAAGCAAAATGCTAAATTTAAATAAATTTAAACAAAGATTGTCAGTCAACGAATTGACCTTTAAAGTGACTTGAACTTTAGGACTAACTTTCAATAAGTCTCATTTATAGGAATTATGTTGAAAAGATAACTAAGTGTTTTCAGGGTACAATTATTAAAATCTCACTAGTTTTTCCGTAACTAACAAGCTTGTTTTGACAATGAAACTTGGCTCATAAAAATTCACCAGTTATTGGAGCTGAGCTGGTATTCCGTGGAAAATTCTCACTGGGACATAGAAAATCAAAATAAGTGATTCAGTGAAGAGTCTCTTCCCAACGAATTCATCATCAGTTTGTACTGTACACTTGTAAATATATGGATTTTTTCCAATAATAATGTGAATTATGACAAAAAAATAGTTGATGGAATGTATAAATCCTTCTATTCTGCGCTTACTCCTGGTTGGGTGAAGTTTAGGAGTGCGTTGGTGGAGAATAGAATCCGGACTGCCTGCCTGTGTAGCATCTGGATATCATCTCACCATTGAACCATAAATTCACCTTCCCATATTTTTGGAGAAATATTATCTAGCATTATTTAAACTTACACTAAAATGTGCACCTGTGGCACAGCGGTTAGGATGCTTGCCGATCATCCACATGGTCCGGGGTTCGTTCCCGGCTGATGCACACCTGATATCAATGGTCGACCTGCTCAGTTGTGGGTTACAGATATCACATGCTCAAAATTCCATACTTCTTCCAAAAATACTGTGTGGAATCAAGCTATAATAAAAGATATGAAAAAAATAAAATTAAAAATGAGAGAAAATACTAGTCATACATGATAATAAAGCTTGTTATTGATGTGTACTTTCTTATAGAATCATGTGACCGTAACAATTTTAACCGTCTTTAGGATAAATAATCAACGAACTTTTAATGAATTATTCTTAATACCTAACCTTGAATACGGAGATACCAAGTCTATTTCGTCTTAAAACCGACATTCTTAATAAAAAAAGCATGTGACTTGATCAGGCAAGACATAAATTCAAGCCATCAGCTGTCCAGCCAAGAAAGACGCAATAAGGGTGATGTGATAAACAGGAACCATGCTAAAACTATCTGGTTGACAGTATCAAAGTTGGAGCTATAGACTTGGACCAGGTTTTTGCAGAATGAAAAATAGATAATAACCTTTCAATGCATGTAGTTCTTGTCTGAGCTGAAGTAGTCTTTTTACATTTTGGTGTTGTTCCGATCTCCAAGTCCAATGTCTGAAGTGAGGAAGTGTAATTGACTTCCTAAACAACATCTACAGAGCATAGTTAAACAAGTGGAATAAGATGTGTCGTACACTTTCTTATGCCACTGGATCTAGTTATCTTTCCAGATAACCTCACTAAAGCTTTCTACAAACTTGTGTCAAGAACAGATCGAATATTCGAGTGGTGAATTCAAAAGAACAATGATGTTGTTTTGTCATTTGACATAGTCAGCTTTACGCGTAACGTTTAGTTCATAATGAATATGAAATAGTCTAACGTGTTAACTGCACCTTCACAATGTGATTTCATTGATGAACTGTTGGTTGAATGGGATATCACCATACTGCACTTTTATACTTCTGTTATACTATAAGACATCATAAAAAGATTTTTTGAAGTTTGTACTTAAAATGATAACAAATTACTATAGTTACTTTAAAGAAACCTTTGTTGTTCACTTTGATGTACTCACATGATATGTATCATAATTTAATAATGCTGTATATTAAACTTATCAAGTGTCGCGTAATAAAGTACCATATATACTAAGTTGTAGATTATATTCTAAATCAATGTTGCAAATTGTTGTAATCCAACTGTGTGATGATTATATAAAGTAAGTATTATGAATAGCGAAGTAATAAAACACCATTCACATGCTTTAATAGCTAACAACATGGTGATAGTGATAGACTATTGTGGAGGATGCTACTGATCAGTAGTAGTACATAAAGAAACGTTCATCGAGGAGAATAAAAGACAAATTCAGCGAAGAAAATTCTCTTTGGTTACAGGATTTCATCATGAGCTGACATCAATTAGAGAACCATTGGAAAACCTGGGAGTACTGGACAGCCAGTTGTTCCTCCCTAGTTTGGGACTCTTCAGTAGTACGCACCCACAGGGACTCGAACCCAGGACTTTCTGGTTACAAGGCGAGCTCGTATGCCATTAAGCCACTGGGACCCGATCCAATGGCCCATGAATTTTAACTTCTGCCGATTCACGGAATAGCGCAACCGCTAGGCAATGTCTTCAGCGAGTATTTGTCCTCACACACGACCAGCTGCACCCTACTGGTCACGACTCCCCACTGGAGCCCCAGGTAACCGCGTACCTGGATAGGGCCAGTCGCCAGTGAGCATCTCATTGATATTCAAGTATTGGTTTGTAGCTAGAAGGTCCTGGGTTTGAACCTCCTGTGGTGGGTGCATACTACTGAAGAGTCCCAAACTAGGACGAAATAGCTATCCAGTACTCCCAGGCCTTCCAATGGTTCTCTAACCAATGTCAGTTCATGATGAAATGCTGTAACCAATCAACCAAATCTCTACAAACCAATACTTGAAAATTGTCTTTATCGAAGAAATTATCTTCAGAGGCTGTACAGTCGTATTTATACTTACAAAAATATATAGTGGTCTGTTATTGAGTAATAGGGGGTATTGATATAATAGATATAATTACTCAGAGGTTCCTTTAGAAGTGAAAATCAAAAGTTGTAAATTACGTGGTACTCAACGGGACAAAGATAGAAATTTGATAAGGTTAAAATTGCTACTGAGTGTGAATAAAGGTATTTGAGTGTCAATTTAACAAGTGTGAAGAGGGTATGAAATGTACAGAAGGAGGATATGAGAATAATAATAGTGAATTAATTATTCAACGAAAAGCAAACTAAAAGTAAAATTAAAAAGTAAAGAAAAATCAAAATATTTTACAGGGAACGACTAGTGAAGAGGTTAAGAACAAGGTAGAATAAAAAACTGGATAAACTTTTTGTCTGTATACAGAGTTCAGGGTTGTGTTGACGAATTGCCAGTGCCTCCGCTATACACAAAAGCCAAAACCTGACGCCCTTTGTACCATTTGGCTTCACTTTGTAGATGATCTTGAAAGACGACTATGGTGGAACTACGTGACCTGAGTTCACCAAATGCTCGAGAATTGAGCTAGTAATTGTCTTGCATTGTCCCTTTGCTAACCATGCCGGATAATGTTCAGAGATGCGTTTGGAAAGCGTGCGCTTTGTGCGGCCAGAATAACGTTCATCGACATAAAGACACCAAGTAGCAGGTAGACAGATTTGACGTCAGAGAAAGCAAATGATACAGCGTTGTGGAGAAATATAGAAGACATGAAAGGAACACAAAGAAACACATACACACACAGTATGAAGAGCAGAATTAGCACAATATGGAAGATCCGCGCTAATGATCATTTGGGGATTAGTTGTACATAATTTCACCATATGGCGATATCAAATACCAAACAAACATTCCTTTACCAAGTCTCTCGTCTTCTATCTTTACACCATGTCCTGCAAAACACCTAGTTAGCCCTCAACAATTGCAATTAATAACAACTAGGGGATTGAATCCTACAGTGTAATTTATAGACGATTCGTCAATTCATTTGTAAAAGATGAAGAACATATCATGACTCAGTTATTTTCTGTGCTGATAACTTAATGGTTTATCGATTTAGTTTAGTCACACAGTAGTCTAAATGACACTGAAATTCCTTCCGACCTTCCAACTATATAATTTTCCTGTATTATTTTGTGACCTATCTAAAGTTTGTTATATAAGCTAAAAAAATAAATAAACTTTAATGTTGAACAGACGTGTAAAGGTCACCATTAGTTCAATGGACCAGATGGTTTTGTATTTCTGACCAACATACAACAGACTTATATGCCTATAACTAATAAAATTAGGTCTGTAAATGTTGAATAAATAAGATAGGGGAAAGAAAGGTGGTATTCAGGTACATATTTGAAACTTAAAATTCTCTTCATTAACATTCATTTTTATTCACTCTCTCTCTGACAAGATGGAGTCACAATTTAAGTGTAGTATAATCCAAATTGATCATTCGAAGGAAGAAAACAGTAGAATGTCCGCATATAATTTATCATTCTGTCTAATTGTTATGTGATGCTTAATTCC